GAAAAGCTGCATCGTCGTTGTACAATCCTTGTAACAGTCGGCTAGTGTCCTCACGTAAGCTGGGTCCACTCCTTGATCGACTAGCGCTGACAGGATGGCATTGGTTTCGACGCTGTCAAAGGCTTTCTCGTAGTCGACGAAGGTTAGGACGAGAGGCAGTCGGTACTCCCGGCAGACTTCTATAATCCTCGAACCGTCTGGATGTGGTCCATGCAGCTGAATCCTTTGCGAAATTTAGCTTGTTCTTGGGTTGGACTTCATCCAGTGTCCTAGATATGCGAGCGAGGATAATCTTCGTGAAAAGCTTGTACAGCACACTCAGCAGCATACCGGACGGTAGTTCCGAAGATCTTCCCGTTTGCCCTTCTTGTAAAGAAGGACGGTTATTGATGTTCTCCACTGATCGGGAATCCTTTCCTTCTGAAAGTAATATGTTAGGTGCGACGCGAGAATCTCGCGTAGACGTTGTCCTCCGACTCGCAGGAATTTGACGGATAGATGGTCTGGTCCTGGAGCCGTGGACGTCTTCATGGTTTGAATCGCCGTGCGCACTTCAGCAGGTGGAATTCGTGGTGGTACTTCTCCAGTACAATGGGCATCGGCACGGGTGCTGATGAGCGGAAGAGGTTGGTGTAGAAGTTCTTCGCAATAGGTTCCATCTTGTATCGGGAAGAAGTGGGAGTCCCGTCTTCGTTCACTAGTGCAGCCAGCTACGTGATATTCACAGAGGTCCCATCGTCACTTCTTGAGACTTCGTCTTCCTTCGGCTGCTGTATCTTGTCTTGCCTGTACTTCCTGAGATCCTCCTGCAAAGCTGTTCTGCAGCTGGCGTTGGCTATCAGTCGCTCGAGATGGGTTGCATTCGGATCCTGCCTCAGAAATCTTCTTCTTTTGAGCATTTCCTTGGTGGTCTTCGAAATGCGTTCAAGTTCTTCTCAGAAGTCATGAGGCGCACTCTCCGCAGGCTCGCAATCCTTTCAGAAGGCGGTCGTAATCGTACGTTCGGTCCTCTTCGAGGGCCAGTCACATCTTGATATGAGCTCCTCCAGCCTGTTACCGTCATAAACGACTTCCTTCCTTCTCGCGGCACTGTGGCAAACTTCTTTTCCAGCTTTCGGCTCAATCATGCCTTCGCTCGAAGGAGGCTGTGATCGGAGCAACTGCAGAATGATGAACTACTGAGACATCGAGCAAGCTTCACCTTCGGTTGATGAATATGTGGTCGATCTCCGCGTGAGTAGTTCCGTTGGTCGATTCCCATGTCCACCGGCGATGTTCTTTCTTCATGAAGATGGAATTTCCATGGAAAAATCGTGGGCGGAGAGGAACCCAACAAGACGGTTGCCGTTTTCGTTACGGAGCCCATATCCAAACTCCCGATCCTATATTCCTTTTCCAGTGGCATCCCGATTTTCGCGTTGATTTTCGATTTTCGCCCACAACAAAGTTGTAGAAGGACTTGTCGTTGCGGATGACCTTCTCCACGTCATCGTAGAAAGCGTCTAGTTCTGAGTCGTCAGCTGTTGATGTTGGAGAATAGCAGTTGATGATGCTGATGGTGTTCTGATGTGGAGGCAGACTGCGATGTACAGTCAAGCGTATACCCTGGCAGCGTCTTCCAAACGTGAAGAAGTTTCAAGCATCCACTCACCAACTTTGAAAAAAGCCTAGCTTATACTAATCCTTTGTCTAACTGTTCAAGAATTGCTGATGCCATAGTTTACATTCTGGGGTCGGTCGCCATTTTGAAAACAAGAGCACGGTTTAGTAGGTCTGCTTTTGCTGGAGCAAGCTTTTCTGATAGGCAGGAGTTGGAGAGAGCCTCCGCACATCGCTTTCATCTGAGCCGCAGGATGGACAAGAACAGACAACCTGACATGGACATGTCAGGTTGCTCAGGACGACTTGTACCAGACAAAAACAGTAGGGCCGCCTCTGCTCTGTACTTACAACGCCAGCGCAGTCTAACGCACCCTGCTTCACGTGCGGAGCACATCAATCATCACGTGAACACTCTACAGGAAACGAAGAGCAAAAAGAAGGGCAGCTGAGTGCTGGGGCACTCAATTTCAATGGTGAGAAGATTAGAACTAATTGGAGGTTGGCTTTGTTGCCCCTCTTGTCAAGTCAGAGGAGATCTTATCACTTCGGCCATCCTCGGCTTACGCCCTTCGTCAAAAGACATCAAAATGTATTTATCAGATTATACTGTTAATTTCCAACGTTGGCAGTTGATATATCGTAACTGGAAATGAAAGCCTTCTACGAAGATGTGGAGGAGGTCGTCCGCAGTGAAATATTCTTTCATAAGTTTGTGGGGCGACTTTGATGCAACAGGATCAGAAGGTGTGGACATGGGCTACAAAACGAGAACAGCAACTGTTAAGACTTTCACGATTTTCATGTGCAAACTCTATCTTCGTGAAGAGGGAAGAACGTCGGCAGCTACAACTGGCTCTTGGAAGATTTGCATGCCCGCGGGAAATGCGCCTCGACCACTTGTGAGGATATTAAGATCGCATCCAGCAGACTACCATGCAATTGCTCGAAGGAGCACCGTGAGGCAACCAAATGCAACTCATTTTGAACGACTGGTAGCGAAGCCAGCTGCGGACCAGGTTTGCTGGAGTCTCTGCGGCAGTACATGAAGATTAAGATACCGAAAAAAAGCCCTATTAAGACAACCACTGACTGCTTTTGCTAATATCATACTAATACTAATACCATACTGCGAGCAGCACTGGTTGAACAAAGTAGAACTACTTTTTCCAACATAAGACGGAATCCGTTGTGTGAAAGTTCTACATGAACCTTCTCCTCCCAACCTCGTGGCAGCGCCCGTCGTGCCTTTACTTGGTGAAATGTCCACTGTGAATTACCATTCATGTGCCAAACAGACATCATGTTTCCAAGACCAGATCATCCTTCTATCGAGCTTCTGAGTGTCAAGACGCCGTCTACATGGTTCTCGCAACGCAGCTGAAGACATGTCTACCCAAATCCCCACTTCCATATTTTTGTCGCTTTCAGGCCTGCCTTCAAAAGGCCCTGATTTTGATTATGAAGCCGAGAATCCGCGAAACCACAAAACACCCTTTTTTGGAGAACCCGCTACAACAAGCGCAGGCGAAGGAAAGCTGCAAAGTAGGCGTGGTGACCAGCTGGGTGGAGTGACCACCTCCAAATTTGCTCCTTCCGGAGCGGATTGCTTGTTCCAAAAGCAATCTTTTGCGGACAACTTGGGGGTTTGCCTAGTGTGCTCACACCTAGTATGCCATCATAATCTCGTCAACCCCCACTTTGGGTAGACGGTGCCTTTAACATCTAACCTTCAAACGAAAAAAATTCTTGTGCGAAGATCAGCAAACGGGAAGATCTTGGGAACTTTTAGGGTGGTTCAAAAGTAGTGAGGCAGCTGGAGAATAAACGTGGTTTTCTCAAACGGAAAACTCAATTGGATGCCCAAGTTTTGGCAGATGATAGTACATCTCAAAAGTTTCTGATCGAGGTGTATATAAAAGTACTGTCGCATCGCGCTATCTTTGTAAGGGCCATCAATCAAGGCCGTCACTTCAAGTGATTTCGCATTTGAGCAGCACCGTCGCAGTAAAACAAGTAAGGTCTACTAAAAATATTTGCGCCGCATTGGGTAAGGGGACAGTCAAACCAAAGTTTTAGGGGACATATTATTTGTTCTCTCATTGGAGTAATCGAATAAGCTCGTCTATGATGGGGAGCATTCGTTGGAGCTTTCTGCGACCCTTCTTAAAGGCAGCGTCCAGGCAGATCTGGACCTATGGGGCTTTTACGTGGAACGTACGTTTGGGGCCCTAACTAAGGCACTGCCCAAGCGGCAGCCCAGGTAGTGCTGTAATGGCTGAGATACTCCCCTCGAAACTGGACCCGCGACCGTGTTTCGCATGGATTCATGGCGCAAAGCGTGGATCCTGGCGCGAAACTGCCATGAATACGAATACGAATACGTTCGCGGGGGCCAGTTTCGAGGGGAATATCTCAGCCATTAGAGCACTACTGAGCTGCCGCTTGGGCGGTGCCTTAGTTAGGGTACCCCCAAAAGTACTTTCCACGTAAAAGCCCCATAGGTCCAGATCTGCCTGCACGCTGCCTTTAAGTGCGGTTCATAGTTACGAACACCCTATATTTTGCTGTTTCCTGGAATCTCTGAAAAAAAATGCAGGGAACCGTTGGGACCACGTGAAAGAGCGTTCGAAAATGGTACACCCAACACAGACCTGGAATCCTATGAAAGTTTCAGGAAAGAAAATCCTGCCAATCGACAATTGTGGCGGTTCATAATTATACGAACACCTCGCAAACCGCTTTCATCTTCATTTATTCGTAACAATAACGGAATGTAACAACAAGAGTAGACCATCTAATAATCTGTTAGACCACCAGAATGATTAATAACCTGAAAGATTCTGTTTGGCATGCTTCCAAAAAGTTTATGGATATCTTCAAGCTAAATTTGATGCCAAGTTTCCAAAATTGCTGATTTCAACTATCTACATTCCAAATTTGGCGGTTATTGTGATAAAGACGTCTAGCTATGATTTTTTCACAAGTTTTCCATGATGTTCAGGTCCGGTGAGCAAACCGGCCATTCAGGCTCCCGCCAGAGTGCCGAAGTTATGCCAGCGCTACGCCAGCATTTCGATCAATACACGTGTATTTCGTTGGGGCGGGGCTAGCTGACGTTCCCAACGAAATACACGTGTATCGATCGAAATGCTGGCATAGCGCTGGCATAACTTCGGCACTCTGGCGGGAGCCTCAAGAAGAGCAATTTGTTGCTCAGCAGAGCACCTAAATTTTCGGCAGAAACTCGTTTTTAAAATTGCATTTTTGACATTTTCGTCTCCCTGATGACATGAACGGAGGTATCTTGTTGGTAAATAGGAGGCAAGCGATGGAAGTGCTTTGAATGTGGGATCAAATTCAAATTCAGCACGCTAATATACTCCGAATTTCCTTTTTGATTAGATGAATCGAAGTTCAAGAGAACCAACAAAGGACATCCCCGCCCACGCCATGACGCTTCCGCCATCAGAGTTTCGTCTTGAAAAAAGAAGTGGCTCTTTGCGCAAGTCTCTCCAGTAACCGTTGAAGCTGTCAGGACCGTCCAAGTTAAACTTCTTCTTGTCCGAAAAGATCACCTGAGGAATAGACATAAAAAATCGCATTAAGACAAATTTACTAAAGTTTCTACCTTTTTCCAATCAAGCGCCATGTTTTCACGAGCAAATTTTAGTCTAGCATCCTCGTGACGAGGAAGAAGTCGAGGCGCAACGCTCGTTTTCGCATGCACGAGGTTGTCACTCCACCAAAGGCATCGGAGAATTGTGGTTTTGGATGCGTGAAGATGCAGTTCCTTCTTGACGTCGTTAACGCTCTTGGTATTACTGGAAGCCTCTTTGCAAATTCGGCGCTCATCCCGCTTGCTGAGCATTCTTTTCCGACCGCTCCGATTTCAACCATATTGCTGGGGGATAGTGCTTGATTACGCAAGGAGTTCGAATCCAGTTTCCTGCTATCTGTCTTAATCCCATCCTGCACGAGAAAATGCTGTCTTCTTTCATGAACCGTGAGGCTTTTTCCGCGGGGCATTAGCCAGGAAAACGCCAGCCGAAGTGTGCGTATAATTATGAACCGCCCAAATTTACGTGAGATAATTTTTTTCTCAAAAACCTTCAAAAAAAGCGAGGAAATACTACAATCGAGTAAGGTGAAAAAAAAGCGCTCAAGCGTGAGTCTCACAAATCCACCAGAGGAATGGCTTTCTTGAACAGCATGCTGATTAACTCGGTCAACAAAGTCTAGCCAAATTTCAACTATCTTACACATGCCGTATGGTAACCAAAGAAGCTTTATATAAGTTGGATATGACTTCCGTAATCAGCATTCCAGATTACCTCAACGATCTCTACAAACCATTACCTATTACATTTTCTAGTGTTTCCTGGAGTCTAAAAAGCATGAATTTCAAACATGATTTATTTGGCCAAAGAAGTGAAAAAATTTAGCTTTTTTGTATTCATAGGAAGTATTGCTCTCTATCAATCTATGGTAGAAACTGAACTTCATATCGCTGTCAAATAGTGGATTAAGAAGTGCTGCCAAAATGTTAGTTCACCGCGTTTCATATCTCGAGGTGATTCAACTCCACCGACCGCCACCAAGCGAAAGCAAGTCGAGGTAAGCTTAAACACCTACGGTAGAATATTCGAGGTTTATGCTAGCGGATCCTATAAAACTAAAGTGGAAAAGCTTCTTTGGTGATACAGTCAATCGGGTCGCAACCCTTTAAGAGGTCAAGCCGCCTGAGCTTTGAAAGGGTTGTGCCTGACCCCCTTAACTTGCCTTCAAAGACCCCTACCCTCAAAAAAATTATGGCCTTTTCAGTATGTTTATTCAGATAAAATCAGCCGTCAATTTATGCATGATTGTAAAGTGCAGTCACAGAAAATCGGGCGTACAGTTAAAAAACTTAAAACTCTCTAGAAAAGGATGATGTCCTCCAGAATGTCACACTCTGAGGTTCCGGAGGTAAGCGGAGAAAGAAGGGGTCGTTTGAGGTCTTTCATGAAAGGAGGGGGGGGGAGGTGTTCGTTTTCGAAAGATTTGTGCCTGACCTCTTGCTCAACTCTGTTCAAAACTGCTGTTGATTTACAGGTCCGCCTTGGTATACCGTTTTTACGCTCTTTTACATGGTGCTAATGGTTTCTTGCATTTCTTCTAAAAACTTTGGAAGTCAGCAATATTAGGGTCAAGGCCCGGCGGAGATGGCGCTTTCACAAGCTGGATATCGTTTTTGGCCCGAAAAAGCAAAGGGGAAGTCGTATTTTGGGGTCCGGGGCTCCGCCCCGGACCCCAAAATACGACTTCCCCTTTGTTTACCGATAAACAATGCACATATCATTCTTTATTCATCATTCCTTGTTGATGCTACTGTCCTATGAACTTAGATTCCAGCAGTGTGAAGATTCTGTGCTCCGATCGCTAGCCTGCCCGCAGGCGGGAATTCAAATCGCAATTCTTGTAAGAGGAAAAAAAACAAAATAAGCTCGTTTTCAATGCACAAGTAACGATAGTATGGCACCAAATTTGCTGTGTAGTTGGAGGACCATGAGCACAAAAAAAGTATGAAGAATTATGAGAAACTTATGTGAATTTAAAAAATGGTAAGTGTTTTTCGAAATTGGGTGGCTCCCGCGCCACCTGGGAGCCACCTGGGGTGGCTCCCTGCTTCCCTTCAAATAATTTCCCGGATTTCTTTACATAAATGTGGACTAGGTCGAGGTATTACTATATGTTCAAATCCGCTTCCAAAACCACCAAGGCACCGCTTCGATACAGCCCCAAATAGGGTTCACAGCGTTATGATCGGCCTCGGAAAGCGCGCTCCAATCGCAATCGGTTATTGTAAATTGTAAAGTTTCGCAGCTGACTAATAAATGAGTAGTATCTTAGATATATAAACGTCAAAGTTTGTGCAAATCTTGACCCTATGTTTTTTTATAGATTCCTTTGCGCATGAACCCATTGAGCTGAAACCTTGATGACCCGGGCTGGACCAGGAAAGCCAGGTAGTACTAATATAATAAGCGCTGAGGCCGCCCATCTTATTATTTGTGTATATCTGTTTGTCAGGGACTTACGGGGGTCAAAAATAGGATCAAAGGGGACGTCGTAAGAGATTTTGGCTTCAAGGGGGTTATCGTTTTCAAAATTCTGAAATGCCACCTCCTGCCGGGCCCTGATTAGGATGTTATTAATATGAACCGCACTTTATTTTTTCAATAACTGTGGGTCAAAACAAGTTTTTTAGCCCAAAAATCTGCGCCAAATTTCGCACTTCTTCGAATAATCTGCCTCTTTCATGTTGTGGACCTTAAAATTTCTGTGTGCTCTTTTTCATAAAACCCTTTTCAAAATTTGCTCTAACTGTTTTGCGATAGAGAACCATCGCAATTTCTTCATCGAACAAATTTAGAAATGTAGAAACTTAATGTAGAAACTTCTGACTTTCAAAAAACACTTTGTAATTTCAAAAATGTATTAGGGTGATCGGTAAAAACTGGGGCCCTTTAGAATAACTGTAGATTTTTCAAAAAAAGTGGTTAAACTTCCCAATTTTGAAAGATGTTAGAATAAATTATTCTCTTTCAGAAAATACCTATATAAGGTCATTTATTAGGTTGTCAAGAAAATAATGTCGGTTTTTATTTGCTTGCTTTAACAAAGCAACCAGACTCAACCCAACAAAGGGTAAGGGCTACTGTTCAATAGAGCAAAGCAAGCTCTACAAGATGGCAATCATATCTTTGCGCCATGCTCGATCCACAGAGAGTTCGAACTCAAAATCTAAAGATTTCCAAATGCCCAAAAAATCAGATCTTCGTCCAAATAATTTCTACGGATCTCCCACTCGCTCACATCAATACTATCGATATCTGATATCCATATGTGCGATTGCCGTATTTTTTCCTTGACTAGAAACTGAGAAAACGAAAATTTTCCTGATTTTCTCAAAGCAATGCTGAGCCGTTTTTGCATATGTAGTTCTATACTACAAGCCTAGGTAAGCATAACTGTAGGTTTTCAGCCTATTTCGAGCGGTACTTTTCGAGAAATGTCGATTTTAGCACTGAAACTGAAACGAAAAAATCCGAATTCGTTATTTTTCGAAAACTACCGCTTGGAATGGGCTGAAAATCTACAGTTATACTGACCTAGTCTTGTAGTATAGAACTACATATGCAAAAACGGCTCAGCATTGCTTTGAGAAAATCAGGGAAATTTTCGTTTTCTCAGTTTCTAGCCAAGGAAAAAACACGGCAATCGCACATATGGATATCAGATATCGACAGTATTGATGTGAGCAAGTGGGAGGTCCGTAGAAATTATTTGGACGAAGATCTGATTTTTTTCGATTTTTTGGGCATTTGGAAATCTTTAGATTTGGAGTGCGAACTCTCCGTGGATTGAGCATGGCGCAAAGATATGAGTGCCATCTTGTAGAGCTTGCTTTGCTCTATCGAACAGTACCCCTTACGCTTTGTTGGGTCGAGTCTGGTTGCTTTGTTAAAGCAAGCAAATAAAAACCGACATTATTTTCTTGACAACCTAATACATACGTAATGATTTTTATAGTGGCTGAAATGCAAAGTTAGTCACTTTGATAAATTATAAACTTTGGGCAGTATCTGCGCACTAAAACATGTGAGACCACCCAAAATACCACTGCTGGAGTGGGTGGTGGGACAGTCACTGAACCCACGACGGCTTGATGGCTTCAACTTTCAAAGTCAGGAGATATGGCCATTAGCAGCTTCGAGAACAAAGATACGCGTTATCCAATTCTTTGCAGATAAACGCATGTTTTCTAAGTACCATCTGATAGAGATTTTTACACTCTATCCATCCATATGCAAACTACCTCAGATTTTATCTATCTTCGGAAAATATAAGGCAAAACATGATTTTTTGGTTTTTTTTTCGCCAAAAAATCGCAATTTTCAGGTATTTCGCTTTTTTATTCAGAAATAGAAAGAGGTCCTATAGGTTTAATATATTTTTTAAAGAGCATAAAGAGCTCTTTTGAATGGTATGTCATTTGCCTTATGACTTTACGGGCAGCGCAAGATTGAGAATTGTTCCAAAAACCCTGTTTGAGAACTTCACTGCGTCACACGTACGGTTATGGGAGAGGAGCGGTAACGCGTTGCCAGAATAATAGGCGAAGGTCGGTTATGTAAGCGACATTGAGTTGCAGCCTGCTTGTTGTTGGTGAGAACAAAAAACCTCAAAATGTAAAAAAAATCAAGCTGCCCCATTTTTTACCGATCACCCTAATAGTACTCATCATGAAGTTGGTGCGATTTTAGGTACCAGTTCTTGGAGAACCTGCACCCTATCGACTCCGTGAAACGAGGAAATATCATTAGAACGTTGGGCTGTTGTTCAATAATTCTCTTCCAACATTTAAGGTATTCTATATGTCTTAATGCTCATTTTTCTAACTCAAAGTAAATATATAAGGATGTTAAAGGCAGTAGATCGGCAGAATGAGACCCGTGACAAAACAAGGCCACAGGGAGGAGCCCCCATATGGAACCTATCGGCCAAAGTCCGATCTTTCTCTGCCACTTCTAACCCCCGAATCAACGCGGAAGCAGCGCTCATCTCCTGTATTCTCTGGCCCCGCCCATCTCATGGACGCGTGACTTCCATGGTCAGAGCGCATGCCGCAGTGCTATAAGCATAAGGGTCTCGCAACGACTCTGCGTCTTCGCCATGGCTAGCTTCGCGTTCATTCGTCCGTGGGACGGCCGGGGCCAGAGAATACAGGAGATGAGCGCTGCTTCCGCGTTGAAATTTCGGGGGTTAGAAGTGGCAGAGAAAGATCGGACTTTGGCCGATAGGTTCCATATGGGGGCTCCTACCCTG